AGCCAGACAGTGTCTCCGAAATCAAGCTGCAGCATGGCGCTCTGGCTCTGCACTTTCCGCTCTTCTCCGGCGTTCTCGTCGTACACGATCGCCTGGACCTCATTGCGGTTCTTCATCAGCATGACCGACAGGTCTCGCCGTGGGAACTTCCCCACTGTGAAAGAAAAATAGTATGCGCCCGGAATCCTGCAGCGGAACAAGCCGGCCTTTGGATCGAAATCGCCACCAATGTTGACGTACACCTTGTCAAAGGTGATGACCATCTTCGGCCCTCCCTCCATGCTGCTGGTACGTGCCACAGAGAAGGCGGACCGCAGCTCCACGGCGTCAGACATGCGGGCGAATGCCCATGTGGTGGTCACATGACACAGCACACACAGCAGCAGGGGCCTGGTACCAGGCAGCATTGTAACTGCAGAGGGAGCAAAGAATAATAAAAAGCTCTGTTAATTATCCGTTAGTAAGCCGTTTACATGAACAAAAACTGTTGAACACTCATTTAAATGATCACATTCAGTTAAGCTTGTAAATGATAGCTGCTTCTCGTTACCAACACACCAGCTCAAAAAAAAAAAAAAAAGATCAATCATTGTGCATACAAGTGCCAGTGGGGAGGTGGGATCAAAATAAAGAGATCAGTGCCTTCCTTCAGTAGATACAGCAGGAGGAGAGCTGTATTATCAGACCCTCTCTATTTTCCCATGAGGCAAGCAGTAATAAGACACATGGATCAGAAGAACACTGGAGGTGACAGAACATTTCAGATCATTTCTGGACAGCTTTTAGGGGTCCCATCCCCAAATCCCATTGCAAATTTTCACCTCATCTTATAGTGTGTCTCATATCATGGCGAACATTACAAGATGACTACAAACACATCAAAATGGATTTCTGAAGCATTTTTATTAAATCAACACCATTTATTGTGATTTATCAAATGATTCATATTAAATGCCAAGAAGGGGTAGTTGTTATAGATATGCACATAATCTGCAAAAAAAGAGGAGTTTAGGCTGCATTAAGCACCTCATATTGTGACGCAGATACCGCCAGCCCTCCGTTCGCTAAACTATATGGCCCAAAGGAGCGTGTGCCTGAGAGGAGAGCAGTGTATGGGACATTGCCTACTGGGTCTAAACGCTACAGTTAAATAGCCTTCATAACGTTTCTCCCTCTGTGAAACAAGTTCAACAGTGTCCCAGAGATCCATTAGCAACACAGCCAGACTGCCTCTTTCCCTGTTTTACCGCAACAACCATCCCCCACAATCTCCGATGCTATATCTCCACATTTCATTCTTTTAGGCTTTAACAAGACACAGATTATACTGTTGGTGGAGCCTTCTGCATGAATTAAGACATGAAACCTTAAAGCAGCTGTTTCTGTTTGATTTGATGATGGATGGAGCTCATCATAACATTGCAAAGAGGTTTTTGATCTTAATGAGATCTCCTGAGATGTATGAGTTGGACTTCTGTTTCACAGATGCCACTGAGCTGAGCCATGATACACATAGAGTGCCCGATATTTGAACAGTTTAATAATATTCAAATGAAACGCATGAGTCAATCAGCATGTGTATGTGGTTATGTTTTTTTGAGATTTTCCAAAAATAGTATCGTCTTAGCAGCCCTAAAAACAATGATCTAGCCCATAAGCAGCATGTTTTAAGAAAACTTTAATTTTATCTGTTTCAAACTAAATGGCTTAGTATGTAAATCATTCTCACAACATTTACTAGTGATTCCATACTTGTATAACATTTCTAAAGTTAGTTACAGGATATCAAATTTGCTGGCAGGTTAAGTAACAAGAAAATAATGTTTTCCTCCTGTTGTTTGATCTCTATTTTTAGTTGAGTTGTGCTTTCATGCCCTAACAATCTGAACACAGGGGAGGGAAACATCAATATTTGTCAATGCCGTTCTTATGTTTTCAGCTACACCTTTTTTCTCACCGAATGCTGAACTGCAGTGTCCTTTGAGAACACATGGAGTAAACCCTTCAGCTCAGTGAAGCAAAAACACAAAATGTCTATATGCAACATTTGAGAACCAAAAATCCCTAAAAATTAATTTTAATTGCATGTCAAGATTCCCCTGTATTTTTGCTTATGTAAAATACTATTTGAAAGATTTTTGTTTTGGCTTATATGAAACATGGCCACTTTCAGGTCCAAACCCCGTTTTCAGATATGGTTTGTGAACTTGAAATTTACTTGAGTACTTCTCAAAATT